AGTGTTAACAAGCAGTTGGACAGGTGTACCTAATAAAGTGGCCGGTGAGTGTATATTACTCTGTTTTTGCCGGGGAACTGGATCTTTGGAGTAAAATAAACTTGATTAAGTATATCTCAGATAAGTACATAAAAAGTAAACTGGAAGTATATTTTTTTTATTTTAAGTTTAAAATTAGTATACTTAATGGATACTGGCATATACTACTTTTTGCTAAGGGAAGTTAAAAAGACTTTTCAATTCCAGTTTTGAAGAGGACATTTTGAGTTAAAATGTATCTGAATAAAGCTTGGCCGTGCAGTCAGCATTCTGAGGGGATGTGAGAGAAAAACACAAGTCTTATAAAAGTGAGACACACTATTCAGTGTCTATTTTGGTATTCTGCATCACTAGAAAGTGATAAAATAAAATAAAAAATCCCACATTACTATTTTACATGCTTGTAAATGTGTGTTAAGCCTTCCACTGACCCAGCTCGGTGACCTGTCTGTCGAAGGGGCAGCGGACCGCTCGGCCGTGCAGGGGCAGCCGGGTCAGGCAGTCGTGGCACACCGTGTGACCGCACAGCAGGAGGCGGGGGACCTTGTCTCCTTGGAGGGAGAAGACATCCTCACACACACCACACTCCAGCACCTGGAAGAGACAGCACAGTCTGATTATCTGCTCCAACATCAGCCTGTGATGGAAGGTGTCTCATCATGGTGACGTCATACAAATGAGACAAGGACAGAAGATGACTGAATCTGAAGCTCTCAAACATTCACTGCTTTAGCTTTGCTTAGTTTTCCTGTTATTTCTAAGTTAAAATGCAGCTTCTTCCTCACACTTTCACAATACACTGACTTTTAGTTGTTGAACTTTATTTCTGAACAGCTGCAGAGAAGTTAAAGCAGACAACTAGTCATAACACCAGCTATTAGCATGCTGCAGGTACGCATTAGCATGGATGTTCTTAATTAAAGAAAACGCATTCTAAAATAAATAAAGTAACGTTTTAGTAAAATAAAACGTTCAAATCATTATTTTGTAAAATCCAGATTTGGCATGACTTCCACCATGTCCAACGCCAACGCAGCAAGCTTTAGCTTAGGTAAAGCTGACCCTGCGGTGGACTTTCACTAAAACAAAACAAGACATGTTCATAACAATCACAGTGCAGCTGTAACATAACCTGACTTTATCACAACCTTCACGGTGTTTCCAGTCGCTCCCCTCCCGTGCCGTATACACGGCTCCATCGTCGCTACAGCTCCCTGCTTGTTTATCCCTGCTGCAGCGGCGGCCATTGTCGGACGACAGCGCAGAGAACCGCGCGCAGACAAGAGGATAACCCCCAATCACTTCCGCCTTCGTTTGAGTCTCACCAGAAACACAAACGATTGTGTGTGTGTGTGTGTGTGTGTGTGTGTGTGTGTGTGTGTGTGTGTGTGTGTGTGTGTG